GGGGAAGCAGCTGAGGGAGCTGGGGAGGCTCCACCTGGAGAAAAGGAGGCTCAGGGGGGACCTTCTCACTCTCTGCAACTCCCTGACAGGAGGGGGAGCCGGGGAGGGTTGGGCTCTGCTCCCAGGGAACAAGGGACAGGACAAATGGAAACAACCTCATGCTGTGCCAGGGGAGGGTCAGGTTGGATACTGGGAAATTCCTTCATGGAAAGGGCTGTCCAGCCCTGGCACAGGGGTGAAGTCCCCATCCCTGGTGGCACTTGTGAACATGGTCAGTGGTGGCCTTGGCAGCGCTGGGGGAACAGTTGGACTAGATGATCTTACTGGATTTTTCCAACCCAAACCATTCCACGGTTCCCGGGCAGGTTCCTGCACTGCGCAGAGAAGGACCTGGTGCCATACCTGGACAAGCTGAACGACAACACCCTGAAGGAGACACTGGTGAATGGGGTTGGGTACCTGCACGAGGGGCTCACGGCCATGGAACGACGTGTGGTGGAGCAGCTCTTCAGCTCCGGTAAGGGGTGGGGTGGGGACAGGGCCTGGAACCCTTTTCCTTGGAGCTCAACAGTGCCCAAAGTCTTGGGGCTGGAGATGACACCTTGTCCAAGCTTTGTGGCACTTCTAACAGAGACCTGAGAGCCTCTTCCAGAGACTAAAGGGGCTCCAGGAGCTGGAGAGAGACTTTGGACAAGGGCCTGGAGGGACAGAACAAGGAGGAATGGCTTCCCACAGCCAGAGGGCAGGGTTAGGAAGGAATTCTTCCCTGTGAGGATGGGGAGGGGCTGGAATGGAATTTCCAGAGCAGCTGTGGCTGCCCCTGGATCCCTGGAAGTGTTCAAGGCCAGGTTGCACGGGGCTTGGAGCAACCTGGCATAGTGGAAGATGTCGCTACCCATGGCAGAGGGTGGAACAGGAAGGTCTTTAAAGTCCCTTTCAACCCTAACCATTCCATGATTCCATGATCCTCTACCTCTCACATCCAAAAAGTCTGCCATCTTAAACATCATCCCCCCCTTTCCTGCACCTCCCTGTATTCCCAGACCCCTCTGGGGAGCGCGGAACCCCACAGATCTCTCTCCCCCCCAATTCCAGTGCCCTGCAAAAATGCTGAGCACCCTCCCTGTGCCCCTTCCAGGCGCAGTCCAGGTGATGGTGGCCTCCCGCAGCCTGTGCTGGGGCATGAACATCGCGGCCCACCTGGTGATCATCATGGACACCCAGTACTACAATGGCAAGATCCATGCGTGAGTGGAGCCCCCCGATCCCACAGGGCCTCATTCCTGCCCGAGGGGATCCCCGGGAGCTCTCCTTGGAGCTCTGCTCACCCTCTGTCCCTGCCCAGGTATGTGGATTACCCCATCTACGATGTGCTGCAGATGGTGGGCCACGCCAACCGCCCGCTGCAGGACGACGAGGGCCGTTGTGTCATCATGTGCCAGGGCTCCAAGAAGGTGGGTGAGGGCTGGAGCACGTTCCTGGTCTTCAAATATCTTCCTGGGGTATGGAGGCAGATGTTTCTCTCCCAGCTAATGGATAACCCTCACTCAGAGCCATGGAGATGACCCAAACCCTCCCAAGAGTGCTGCGACCTGGGAGTTGCTCTGGGATTTTGGAGGTTTATTCACCCCTTCCCTCCTGCCCTGGCTGTAGGATTTCTTCAAGAAGTTCCTGTACGAGCCCCTGCCAGTGGAATCCCACCTGGATCACTGCATGCACGACCACTTCAACGCCGAGATCGTCACCAAGACCATTGAGAACAAGCAGGATGCGGTGGATTATCTCACGTGGACCTTCCTGTACCGCAGGATGACCCAGAACCCCAACTACTACAACCTGCAAGGTGGGCAGAGAGGGCTGAGGGTATCAGGGACCCTCTGCCTGTGGGCTCTGCAGCTTTTTTTGCCCTTCCTGGAAAGTCTCTGAGCTCTGCTGTACCCACAGGTGTGTCCCACAGGCACCTCTCAGATCACCTCTCCGAGCTGGTGGAGCAGACTCTGAGCGACCTGGAGCAGTCCAAGTGCATCAGCATCGAAGATGAGATGGATGTGGCTCCTCTGAACCTGGGCATGATTGCTGCCTACTACTACATCAACTACACCACCATAGGTGAGGGCTCCCCAGGAACAGGCACCACACCTGCTCTCCGTCCCTGATCCAGTGCCTCGGGTGATAGAGAAGGTGCTGTGGATGTGTAAAACTCCATCCTTTTGCCTCTTTTCTCTGAAAAAAATCAGTGTTTTCATGCTGTCTCCACTCCTCCCTTCCCCAGAGCTCTTCAGCATGTCCCTTAATGCCAAGACCAAGGTGAGAGGGCTCATTGAGATCATCTCCAACGCCGCTGAGTACGAGAACATCCCCATCCGGCACCACGAGGACAACCTGCTGCGCCAGGTGAGGCTCAGGGGGGAATTTCTGAACAACTGCACATGGTACTCAGTGCTCTGGGCTGGGTGACAAGGTGGGCATTGGTCACAGGTTGGACTCAGTGACCTTGGAGGTCTCTTCCAACCTAATTAATTCTGTGATTCTGTGATCTCAGAGCTCTTTCCCATCCTAATTAATGCTGTGATTCCAAAAGATGGTTTCTGTGCATCACCCCAGGGATGGAATGATCCATGTTTTTGGGGTAAAGCACTGATGGGTTGATCATTTCTTCCCACAGCTGTCCCAAAAGGTCCCCCACAAGTTGACCAACCCCAAATTCAATGATCCCCACGTCAAGACCAACCTGCTGCTCCAGGCCCACCTGTCCCGGATGCAGCTGAGTGCAGAGCTGCAGTCGGACACCGAGGAGATCCTCAGCAAGGTGAGGCTGGGGGACCCACCAAAATCACTCTGTCACTGCCCTCCACAACTGGACAGGGGAGAGAAAATGTAGGGAAAGGTCCATGAGTTGTGATAAGGACAGGGAGAGATCCCTCATTAATTGCCTCCATGGGCAAAACAGACTCGAACTGGGGATAGGAACTGAATTTATTACCAACCAAATCAGAGCAGGATAATGAAAAGTTAAATAAGTCTTCAAAAAACACTTTCCCCTCCCCCCTCCCTCCCTCCCAGGCTCTCCCTCCTCCCTCCAGAGATGGGAATAGGGGTCACAGTCAGTTCATCCCATGTTGCTCCTGCTGCTCTGCAGGGCTGCTCCTCTCACATGTTCTCACTCTGCTCCTCCCTGCACCCAGTTCCATCTGTGCCATAACTTTTTCCTTAAATATGTTATCCCAGAGGTGTAACTGTCATTCCTGCTGGGCTCAGCTTTGGCCAGCGGTGGGTCCGTCCTGGATCTGCTGGAATTGGCTCTGCTGGACATGGGGCAAACTTCTGGCAGTTTCTCACTGAATCCAACCCTGTAGCCCCTCTGCTACCAAACCCTGGGCACACCAACCCAACTCCCCGTGTCACTGTCTCCACCCCTTAACCTGTCCCTGTCCCCCATGTCCAGGCGATCCGGCTGATCCAGGCCTGCGTGGACGTGCTGTCCAGCAATGGGTGGCTGAGCCCAGCTCTGGCTGCCATGGAGCTGGCCCAGATGGTCACCCAGGCCATGTGGTCCAAGGACTCCTACCTCAAGCAGCTGCCTCACTTCACCTCGGAGCACATCAAGCGCTGCACGGACAAGGTGAATCCTGGTGGGAGGAGCACCAGGGTCCTGCCCTCGGAGTGCCGGGAAGCTCCAGGCTGAAAAAAATCCCTCCTTGCAGGGTGTGGAGAGCGTGTTTGACATCATGGAGATGGAGGACGAGGACAGGAACGCGCTGCTGCAGCTCTCGGATGCCCAGATCGCCGACGTCGCCCGGTTCTGCAACCGCTACCCCAACATCGAGCTGTCCTACGAGGTGGTGGACAAGGACAGCATCCGCAGGTGGGTGGCCTTGGGGTCCCTCCAGCTGGGTGGGATTTAAGGTCCCTCCAACCCCCACCATTCCACGATTCTGTGGTTCTGTTCCTGCAGTGGAGGGCCCGTGGTGGTGCTGGTGCAGCTGGAGCGTGAAGAGGAGGTCACAGGACCTGTCATCGCACCCCTGTTCCCTCAGGTATGGGGACACCGGGGTGGCAGGTTGGGGAGGGGGGGAATTGTCCCCAGATCTCACCTGTTTGCTCCTCCCTCCCCCTCAGAAACGTGAGGAGGGCTGGTGGGTGGTGATCGGAGACTCCAAGTCCAACAGCCTCATCTCCATCAAGCGCCTGACGCTGCAGCAGAAGGCCAAGGTGAGTGGGGGGTGGCACCGGGGGTGGCACTGGGCACCTTCCTTGCTGTCCCCGCTGCCATCCCAACTCCTCCCCCTCCCCACCCAGGTCAAGCTGGATTTCGTGGCTCCAGCCACGGGAACTCACAACTACACATTGTACTTCATGAGTGACGCCTACATGGGCTGTGACCAGGAGTACAAGTTCAGTGTAGACGTGAAGGAGGCAGAAAGCGACAGCGACTCCGACTGATCCCAGGCCAGAGGATCCCCCCAGAGCTCAGCCCCCCACCCCCAACCTCCACAGCAATCGTGTCCCCTCCCTTTGTGTTATTTCCATGTGTTTTCCACGTGTTTTCCTTTGGTTTTTTAAAGTGTGGATGCTTTGTACAGTGTTTTCTAGGCAGGAGCTGCATGACAGCAACTGCAATAAATCTTGGGACCTGACTCTGTGCTGATGGGGTGAGGAGAGGGGAAAAGGTGTGACTCCAGACTCGCTGAGCTCTGCCTTCACCCTGAGGCTCAACAAGCTCATTAGCAGCACTAATTAGGGCATTTCTGGGAAAACTGTGATGATCCCAACACCTCAGTGCTTCCCCTTGGGTGGTCCTGTCCCCTTGTGCCACCTCATCCATGTCCAGGGAGCACCCACACCCTCTTGTGTCACTCTGAGGGTTCCAGGAGTGTGAAAGGAAGATGCCAGGTGTGTTATCATGGAATCCTGAAGGTTGGAAGAGACTTTAGGATTAAGTCCAACCATCAACCCAAGAACTGTAACCCCCAAACCACTTGTGAAAGGAAGATCCAGAGGCCAGGAGCTCATGGATTTATTGGGGGGTGGGGGAAGAGAGGGGAGAAAGTCCTGCTCCAGATCCTGGATCCAACTGTCTGGCACAGCTGTCCTGGCCTCCCACGGGTGAGAAGGAGGAGGAGGCCAGGGTGGGCTCAGGGGGACACACAGGGGGTCTGTCCCCCTCAGCAGCCCTCGGGGCGCTGGTACTTCCAGAAGGCGATGTCCCCGTCGTCGCTGCAGGACGCCAGGAGTCCTGGCTCCTTGGGGTTCCAGGCCACCCCGTTGACGTCCTGGGAGTGTGCCCGGGGCACGTGGGCCGTGAGGCTGAAGGTGGGCTGGGCCTCCTCTGACGTGGGGCTCTCCTCAAACACCCGGATGGCGTCGTCACCACAGGCTGTGGCCAGGGCACCCGTCAGGTGGCACCTGGGGGACACAGAGGGGATGGGACCTGGGGAGGTGGCATCTGGAAGGGACAGGGCCCCAATGAGGTGGCACCTGGAGGGGTCGTGGGTGTCACCAGGAGGGGACAGGACCCTGTTTTGGGGTGCCCCCAATATCTGCCCCTCACCAGGACACGTCGTAGATGGTCCTGCTGTGATACCCCGAGAGGGTGCACACACACTTCCAGGTGGGATCGGTGCCACTGCAGGCCACGCCTGGAGGGAGGTGAAAGAGCTCAGTTCCCCTTCCCTCCCCTTTTTCTCTCTCTTTTCCCTCTCCTTTCCTTCTCCCTCTTCCTTCCCTTTCCCTCTCCTCCCCTTTCCCTATGTTCTCTTTCTCCCTTCCTTCCCCCTCTTTTCCCTCTGCCTTCCCTCTTCCTCTTCCTCTTCTTCTCTCTTTTGACCCTCTTTCTTTTCCTCCTTTACCTCTTCTCCCTTCCTTTCCCCTCTCTTTTCCCCTCTTTCTCCTCCCTTTCCCCCCTCTCTCTTCTTTTCCCTCTTCCTCTTTTCTCTCTCCCTTTCCCCTCCCCACAGCTCTCCCCCCACCTCCCCTCACCTTCCTGGTTCCCGGGGTGGTACCGGCGCCACACCCGGAGGGTCCTGTCGTCGCTGACAGACGCCAGACGCTCCCCC